TTTTGATTCAGTGCACACGCACACACACATACACAGAGAGAGAGAACCGTAGACCAGAAAACAATGAGAGATGGATGGTAAACGATGACTGTAAGATATACATTGAACAACGAAACTAAAATGAATAAAAATGCTAACTACACCGAGTGTGAGTGTGTGGATTCATGCACTCACTCTCGTAATGGATAAACACCGAATGGGAAAGAAAAGCTATCGATAGAGTGAAGCAAAGGAACGGGGCGATCGCGTGCACGATTCCATCGCCAACAACCAACGACAACAACATGAACTTCAAACGGTGCTCTGTCTGATGGCATTTGATAGCTTCGTTCTGATATTTTTCTTTCTCTCTCTCTCTCTGTTTTTCCGCTTGAAATTTTCGCTTATTTCTTTGGTTGAAATTTTTGTATTGGCATATTCTCTCTCTATGTATATGTTTTTCACCACTTTGAATGTTGTTTTTTTTTGTCCCGTCCGTTCACTCTTTTTCAAAGTGCCCTTTGAATTTTATCGCGCGCTTGCTTTTTCTTATTCCTTTCAACACCCGTGCCGCCAATTCTAATGAGTTGTACGGAGCTGTGGATGTGGCATAGCAGATTGCAAATATCGAATTCAAAACGTAACGATAGTCTACACTGCAGCTGTAATAAATCATTGAACGTTCGTAAATTGTTTGTCGAGTATGACTGAATGGCAAAAGTGAGAAACGACATTCAAAAAAGAATTGCAGCACTCAACATTCTCATTTGTGTAAAAGAATTGCCCTGGCAATTCAGTTCAAAAGAATACAAACACACACACACACTCTCTCTTTTTTTCCCATTTTCAGTGATTGTAGATTGATATAAATGGATGTTAAGGCTATTCGAAACATGCATTATGCGACGTTAAAAATATATTTATCGTAATTTATCATCATCACCAAAGTCATGAAGTCATTCGATCTTTTTCTATCTCCTCTCGCTCGCTCTGCTACTATTGCAACAGCAACACAAACACGACCTCTTTCAATCCGCAACACCGTAGAATATTCCATAGTGACAGTATCAGAACGGCGTCTCAAAACCATCTGCACAATTCGTACACACATAATGCACAATTCTAAATCCAACCACGCTTCTTTTCATTCATTTTGCACAAACATACGCACGCACGCACGCACCGATACATACACACACGGAGAGACACTGCCACAGACAAAAGACACACCAAATAAAAGAGCCGAACCGTTTTTCAACGCCATACAACGAGAGAGAGAGAGAGTGAAGAAGAAGAAGAAGAAAACGAAAAGATAAATTGATTATAATAAATTCGCTGATTTCAGTCTCGCTGACTCTCGATAGAGAAACGAATGAATAATTTTTGTTTTCATGTTTCGTTGCTTGTGTAAATGAAACGAAGAGGACGGCCATCGTGTGCGCGCGAGGGTGTCAGGTCCAAAGAACACAGCACACAAAAATGTCAGCTTACAAACAAACGACAGACAACAAATATTTCTCGGTCTCGTATTTATAGTATTTCTCTGTTTTTTTTTATCGAATGAATTTGTGAAGTGAAGATGACGATGATGATGATGATGATGATGATGATGATGATGATGATGATGATGA